ATAGCTTAGAAGAGGTGAGGGTCTTCACTCCCCTTTCCTATTTATTGGACTATTAGATTGATGCACCAAAGGCAGTGAAAAACAGGAAATATATGGACTCTGGAAGAGGCAGATCTGAATTCATTGCCTCGGGGGAGGGCCTAGGAAGGGGAATAGGGTGCCTCAAATTTCTGAACTGGCCTTCTTGTTTGCACAATGGAGATACTTATATCTACTTTTAGAGACTGAAAGAAGTACTCTTTGTAAAATATTTATTAAATAATGCATGCTCTTTCAAGCATTACCCACACCTCCCCGGTCTGAAGTTCAGCGAGCCCATTGCAATGGACACAATCCATCAGGGAAAATTATTTCATTGAAATGTACCCTGAGAGTTTCATATTTTAACTTATGTCATGTTTGTTAAAAAGTAAAAATTATATATTCTTCTTTAAAGTTGTTAAATGTCCCTGAAATTTCAAAGCATTAAGTATCGTGACAAAAAATAAGTAAGTAGAATAAGGAGTTGATGCTTTTCAAATTTACTATACAGCTCTATCTTCTGGAAATCACTGGTAATAGAAGACAACTGAATTTACCATATGATTTTCATCATGAGCATGCCTCTGCTAGGATGTGAAAGTTGCTGTTTACACAATTTAATTCTCTACTTTCTAGTCAACCATTTAAAGTCCACAAAGAGTAGAAAAATGGTAAAATCTGAAGATTACATGGAAAAGGCCTTTGACCATGTTGAAGGGCTGTAGATGGGAGTCAATTAGCCGTTACTAACAGTCCTGAAGTCATTACTCCATCTGGTTATTATTTTTGAGCCTCATTACACACATCTGACAATCAGAGGCACTTACACAACCCTCTCCTAGCTCTCCTGTGAGAATAAATATGGAAAGGGTTTTGTACTCTCAGGTGAAGAGAAAGAGAACTTTAGATACAAGAGGTCCATAAAAATAGTTTGCCTTTCTTTAAAGAAATCTTATTGTGGATGCATGTATATATATTCGACTAATAAACATTATCTATTAAATAATGGTGGGTTACATTGCAAGTGTAGTTGTAAGGTTCATCTTAAAGACATATATTCCCCCATAGGGGTTTCACATGAAATATTACAATAAGGACAAAACAGAGTTTTCATTTTACGCCTGTGAGGAAAGTGTGAATGATTACAACACTCTTACAACTTGGTCAGGTGCAGGTACTAAAAAAGTAAAATCACTAACAGGCTCTTCTACTGAAATTCTTTATAATTCTACTTTTACATTTGAAATATTGTAATATGTAAACATTAGAGATGATGTGCTCTTATTTTGGTTCAGTCGGAAAATACAGCACTTCATGAAGTTTGAGATGTTGAAAGGTACTTAAAAAATGCTGAAGAATTAAACTTTGAATTTTGTTAAGAGCTTATACATTCACCTGGTTTAAAATTACAAAGGTAAAAAGAGGCAGACAATGAAAATTCTCTCTGTCCAGAGCAAACCACTGTGACTGTTTTGTTTGCTTAATGCCAGTGACCTTACAGTTTGAGAAGGCTAGTCTAGTACCTATCAACAGAGAAAGAGATCAAGGGTCAGGGATATAAATTAGCTATGGGTTAAGAATGAAAGTTGAGATACACTCATCTTGCTGAAAAATAAAGAATGATTTTAATGAAGGAAATACTAAAGCCTATCAACTATGCAGAGAGTAATTGCACACACAGATTTCTAGACCAGACCTGTTTGACCGGCTTGGTCCCAGAGCAGCTAAGGTAACCCCAGGAGAAGAAAGACTGATGTAAACAAAGTAAATAACCATTTGAAGTAGAGACTTTGAAAGGTACAGTTCAGGAAATTTAAAGTGCTAGCATCTGGAAGTTGAGAAGAGGAGGAAGATCGAGAGAAAACACTTGCTCAGGTTCATATTCAAGGCCCTAAGGCGGTGAGTCAGCCATGCTTAAGTTTTTCTTTCTATTCCAATATTTACTACCCATGTGTGACTTTGGACAAAGCTTCAGTGTTCTCATTTGTGAGACAGTAACATAAGTAAAGAATGCTTTTCATATAATACACAAAGTGCTTGGAATATATATGGGCTATCCTCTCCTGAGACAAATATTAGTTATGACAATAAGGAGATAGCTTTCGAACTCTGGAGGACTGAGATTCTCTTGTTAGATAAAGTTGATTCATATAGCTCATCTATATGATGGAGAAAAATCTGAGAAAGTCTATTTTCTTTAAATTTGAAGTAAGAGAATAAGGAATAGTTGAGTACCTTGCTGAAAATCAGTCTAAGAATTTAAGGTAAATGGCTTTTTTCAGGATCACCAAAAATATAAAATATTAAAAATAAGGCCACTACAGAAGAGAAACCAAGATGTCACACCATTTCTTTAACATCTTAATGAAAGTGATTCTAAGTATTTTAACTTGGGTGTTTTTCCCAAGACACCTTGATGAGGGCAAACTTTGTAATTAGTGGCCTCTAAATTGAATTGTGTCATTACTCCTGTGGATCTATTTATTTTTTTTATTTTTATTTTTTAAAGATTTTATTTATTTATTTGACAGAGAGAGAGATAGCGAGAGCAGGAACACAAGCAGGGGGAGTGGGAGAGCGAGAAGCAGGCTTCCTGCCGAGCAGGGAGCCCGATGTGGGACTCTATCCCAGGACCCTGGGATCATGACCTGAGCTGAAGGCAGACGCTTAACAACTGAGCCACCCAGGCGCCCCTGTGGATCTATTTAGTGTCCTCCTTTCCCAAACTAGCTTACTGAGTTAGCTCATATTATTTCCCACCTATCAGGAAAGAGTCAAAGACTCATCCTAGAAAAGGGGCACTGGCTACCAAGGTTTCTTATAAAGGTACTGTTTCGTTAAGGTGTTCTAGGTTTCTAAGTAGTTTGGAGAAATGGGGGCAGAGATGTCTTATTAGGGGCAACTACTGCCACTCTTAAATTTCACTATGCAGCCCAAGTTACAGGCAAGCGTGAGCACTCATTTCATCCGTGTGCTTGAATCTGCCTTCGCTAATGCCTATCATTAATTTCATGACTAATTTCGAGGCGAGGCCAATGGTAAATGTCTCAGTACTAAGCAAATACCATTAAGGGTCTCAGTATTAAGCAAATAGCATTCAATTAAATACATTGAAAAGAAGTTTATTTAGGCAAGGTAGAGAGAATCACAGCACAAAATGCATAGACTGCAACTAAATCTAAGCTATTTGTCATAGTTTCCAAAGCCTTGTGAATATGTGTGAAACATGGATTTAATCCTTTGGGTTTTTGCAAATTGAGATAGGTAGTAAACTTCCTTGTAAAAACACCATTTGATACGCATTTCACTTTGCCTTTCTTTATCTTGGTTCCCTGAAACTTAAAGGTAAAATGTATAAATATATTCTACCTTACATGGATTTACAGATCAATCAGTGTCTAGTGGTTACACATTTCTAAATTAACAATTATATAATTTGTGTGAATGCTCTCAGCAATCTTTCTAATGATTTATTCTTCTCCCTCCTTAATTGATAAATGCTGACTCAGACATCAGTAGGAAGATAACAGTGCTCAATATAGAGCGTCTTGATCAGTTTCAGAAGGATTTCAGAGAAATGTGCTTAGTGCTTATTCATGTTTGCATCTGCTCTTTAAAACTGTCATATGTTTTGTGGTTAAATTCATTATTATAAACTTAAGGAGCTGCTCACATTTTTATTGCACTAATCACAAAAATAGTTAAACTGTATTAAACTTTTAAAAATAACCCATCCATTGAATTAGTAATTTCTTTCATAAACATAGACATTTGCCCTGGAATATAATTTTTTAGTTTTGAAATTTGCATTCTTTTGAACTCTTAAAATTACATTTGATGTCATCCCTTCATAGCTCATCTGTACAGAAAGAGTTAAAGACAGGTTTATGTCAACTGGACATAATAGGTTGTGCTTAGGCAAATGAAAGATATGTCTTAATCACCTGTTTCACTTCCTCTCACCTGAGATTTAATTCGACTGTCCCACACCAGCAATGATTTTGCACTCTCAGAAGTATTTTCAATGATTCAGTTTATAAGAATTTAGTGATCTGCTTTATTTCATAAAGAAAATTATAAGGAACAAGGTGGAGAAATCACATTCCATATTCTTTGTATAGTGACATCTGTGGGCTGTTGTAGCCCACAGTGATTTTTAAACAAGTACCTGCTCATTTTATGGGGGTCAAAGCTTATTTGTCCTGCTGTTCAAGTATCTAGTCCATTGTGGTCCAGAAAAATAATTTTCCTTTAAACATTAAAGTCAGTTCCAGAGTGTAACAAGTTTTCCTGAAAGTAGTGCAGGAAATATATCCCTAATGTAAACTTCTGTTGGCCTAATTCAAACAGCCTTCTTCCACAGAATTGTGAAATAATTTCTTGTAATTATGTTTTGAGACTATCCTGGAGAGAAGAGTTCTGAATGTGAGTCAATGTGGAGAGATCAACAGAATTACTGCCTTCGGGATATTAAGGAAACGCAATGGGAAACAACACCCATTAAAAGGGTAAACTGCGATGAGATAGTTGGTTTATCTCTACCGGTTTTAGACAATCTGCTGCAGGAAAAGGGTAAGACTCATGCCCTTTTACAAACACATCTCTTTGCCTTAAAAGGATGCAGGGATCCTTTTCTGGCAAAAAAACTGCCTTGCACTTTGATATTTACGACTAAGCAAATCCTGAATGCCTTCCAAGAGCTGCCGGTAACAAAATCCTTGGAGCGCACCCTATGAGTCGCTCACTCCACCGCGGACCGCGAAAGGAGCAGAGTTAGCGAGCTGGTTCTCTAGCCTGCAGCAGCGCATTCCTGCATCTCCGGGCAGCGTGTCCTGGGGTCGGCCCCGCCCGCCCGCCCGACGGATCGCCGACCGCCCTCGCGGCTCCCTGCCACCCTCTCGCGGGCGTGCTCTGGGTGGGGCCTCGCGGCGGCGGTGATGAGGCGGGTGTGCTGGGCGGGTGAGGCGAGCCGGCTGGGCGGCGCGCCCGGGCAGCCCGAGCCGCGCGCCGCGTCGCTGTAATCGGACACCCGAGCGCTCGCCCCCGGTGCCCGGCCACTTTCCATTCACTCCGAGGTGCTTGATTGAGCGACGCAGAGTAGGGCTCCGGGTGCCGCGGCACTGCGACGCTGAGGATTCCTTTACAAAGAAACTCAGAGGACCGGGAAGAAAGAATTTCACCGCTGGGACGCTCTAGAAATTAAGGTCTTCTGGGAAAAAGACTAGAGAGACACGCGGAGCCACACCGGTAGCAAATTGATGACTTTTACGTGCTGATCTCTTCCCATCTCGGTAAGCTGCATTCATTATTTTTGGCATTACAAGTTTAGCAAAATATAACTTTTGGTTCTCTGTGTCGACTTTTTACACATCGGTGTGCTCAAGTCTGAACATTTTCTTAAGAGCACATGCAGTTTGTCAGGGAAGTGTTTCCCTTCCTGAGAGCCCTGCTTGAGTTGTTTCTTTAGGTTATGACACCTGCGGAGAGTTTAAAGTTGAGTATTTCAGTGCCTTCTAATGCAGGATTGCTCCAGAGGACGTAAGATTCCTTTTCTTACGTGTTATTAGTGTTCCATTAGTAGAAGTGAAAACAAGCAGCATGTCTAAGTGTCTCAGTTAAAGGGAAGTTATAATATATGGGGGGGGTGGGGCACGTGTAAGACCCTTCCTTGGCTTTCCGTCACTTCTCATCTCTGGGTAGGCTTGAAACCACATTGCTCTGTATACTCACTTCATTTGACCTGTCATTTCATCTTCACTATTATTCTTTGCAATTTTTAGCATATGTTGCTTTTGGTGAGACATACCAGATAAAATGCTAATAATAGCAATATGTAAAAATGTGTAAATATTATCCGCCTGCTCAATAAAGAGACAAAGGTTAGTCATATTTATAGCCTTTTTTTTTAACTATAAAGTCAATAAAACCAGGGAGCAAATTATTAAGGGAAAGTTACCCCATAAAATCAATTTTCTTCTGAGGTAATTTAGGGATGACAAGGTGAAGAGGTTGTGGAAGCAGGAAGAAACTGTTTCACTTGAAAATTACCAACACAAACATCTCTAGGGTTTCCTCCATCTGTGTGGTAAAAGAGGCAAACAGTTTCGTTTCTATGTCTCATACCATATTACCACCTAGGAAATCAACTGTTTAAAATGTTTAAATTGTTTAAAGTGGCATGTTCAGTTTAACTGTACTTTTTCTTCTGTATTCATGAAGCAGTCTTCTCAATTTTTTGTGGCATTTCTTTATTGAATAAAAATGTTAAGATTCTTAAAAGACATACAATAGTGAATATTAGCATTGTTGTAACCTGTAAAAATAAGTTTCTAGATTAAACTCTGTCATTTCATTGTATAATTACATCAAACTCAAAACAGTATGATTTCTTTCATGGTCCTGGGTTTATTTTGCATATTGTGGCCACTAGAGCCGCTGTAATCTCTAGTTACCCATTACCTGATCTTCCTTGATATTCAGACATTAGTTAACAGCATCTATTAATGTTACAGCTACAGTTTCAAAAGGTAATGCTTTTCTCTCTGATTTATCTTTTGGAATTTTGACAGCCTGCTTTCTGGTTGATTTATTTTAAATATGCATTGAGGGATACATGGTTCACTGGATTGTTCACCACTAAGTCATTGGTTTGAATTTGGCACTAGTCCATGGTTACCTCATCTGCATCATTTAACAGCTGCATGGTCATCTGTATAAATTGGCAGATAACTAATTTGAGTGATTTCAGTGGTCAGGGATTGAGCACACATATATTTATGTGTAGAAACACCATTTCAGAGATGATTACTCCAAAAGAGCTAATGAGGATGTGAGTGAGTGCATGTGAATGTTCATGTGGCATTTTCCTGCTACTACTCTATTTATGGTAAAAAGAGACGTTTTCATCCACTAATACATATTGGTACCATTCTCAAGTCTTTTCAATGTTATGTGATTGTTAGAAGATCAAGTTCAAATATTGGGTTTTCCTTTGGGAACCAATACCTTATTCCTGGATGCTTTGTTCTGCTTTAATATTAGCATTATTTGCTGAAAGAACAGTTTCTTTTTTCACAAAGACTTTCAGACACAAATGAATCAAATCCAAATTTTCACATCTAAGAAACAAAGTCAGAGCACCTCCTACTGTTTGCCTGACTGTAAAAGTTCAGATAAGTCTTTTATGAATAAGGTGCTTTGTCTAGATTGCTGATTTTGTGTGTATCTGTGTTTATGTGTGCGGTTGTGCTTCTAAAATGTGAAATGAAATATAACAAACTTGTTACCTCTCTTTTAAAGGTATTTTCCCTTGGATATTAACTTGCAAATCTGAAGAAATGGCATTCCGGGCAATTTTCGTGTTGGTTGGAGTATTTGTTTGTTCTATCTGTGTAAAAGGATCGTCCCAGCCCCAAGCAAGAGTTTATTTAACATTTGATGGTAAGAAAGTTGATAAATACTCTGGGGGAAATGTCATTTGAAGTCTTCGTTAAAATTTCACATCCAGATCCAAGCATTAATAATAAATTAAAGATAGTAAAATATTATCAACTATTGATTAATCTTGAAAATATTTACTGGACTGTTTTTTTGGATGGCATGGCTATTTTAAATTATTGGTTCATAGACAAAAGCCCTCTATTGCATTTGTTTATGAAAATGCTTGAAGTATATTCTGCACATTTTGAAGTATCTTCTTACTAGTCACCTGGTGTTTGAGAAACACCCTCTATATGCTAATCCTCATCAGAGAATTCTGTGAAGGTTTAATTACTTAAAATTTTTGTTAATAAATTTTGGTCTTAGCCTCCAAGCTGGTTTCTCCATATGTTGTTCTAATGGTGCTTCTTCCATGTCCAAAAGGAGTTCCTGAGATTGGGAAAATCTCCTAATTAATTGAAAAGGATCTAAAAGAATAGTTGGAAATATGTTTTCGATTGCTGTTGTGTACAAATGTTATCTTCAGAAGCTTAGGAAAATGGATGTGATTTCAAATTTGCACAAACGTAAAAGGTGTAAGACCCTCTGAGGATGTTTTGCCAAATGTATGCATGAGCTTTAATGTAGGTGGTTCAAACAACTTACAGATGGATGACTTTGGTCAATCCATGCTAATTGGACAAGAATAAGAAATGGATCAAGAAGATCATCTTGCCAATCGGGGTTATTTGTATTTTTATTACTTCTTTCAACTTACTTTTTGCATAAACCTTAGTATCATTGAGCATATTTTCATTTTACTTGAGAAACAGTATACTCTCAGACCTTTCTATAGCAGAATGTCTTTGAAATACTTTATTATCTTGAATTTCTAATAGCAGGATGACTGACACTTACCAGTCAAATGGATATCTTTTTTTTTCCTTTCCTTCTTAAGTCACCAAGGGCTTTCCCCAAGGTTATCATAAGCACCGAAAGAGCTTTATTTAGAACATAAAGTGTGTGAACTTCTAATTGCTTCCTTAGCTTCTAAGCCAGGCATTCTCCCTTAAAACCCATGGCTGTTCAGTTAAGTTGTAAAGAAAGGAAAAAACAGACCCTTGGAAGTGTCTTTTTTTTTAATTACCATAACATCTTTTCTTTCAAGTTGAGAACTAGGAAATATCTAATGAAATGAAAAATAAAGGCACTAGGTAGTAGTACAATTTGTCTCCTCTTTTTTATATTTCTCTCAATATATGTAGGAAGATGGAGTGGTCTCATAGATTAGTTATCTAAACCTGTTCTAGTACATCAAAACTAACCAAACTTTTTTTTTAACCCAAACTTAACTCAAAATGTGTAATTTTTTTTTTTTTAAGATTTTATTTATTTATTTGACAAAGAGAGAGAGTTAGTGAGAGCAGGAACACAAGTGGGGGAGTGGGAGAGGGAGAAGCAGGCTTCCCGCCGAGCAGGGAGCCCGATGCGGGGCTCGATTCCAGGACCCTGGGATCATGACCTGAGCCGAAGGCAGATGCTTAACGACTGAGCCACCCAGGCGCCCCTCAAAATGTGTAAATTTTAAAAACAAGTGTGTCACCAGAGATAATCCATCAAGTCCATTATTCGAAGACTTCACAGTTTATCTTTTTCTTTTTTTTTAAAGATTTTATTTATTTGACAGAGAGAGAGGGAACACAAGCGGGGGGAGCGGGAGAGGGAGAAGCAGGCTTCCCATGGAGCAGGGAGCCCAATGTGGGGCTCAATCCCAGGACCCTGGGATCATGACCTGGGCCAAAGGCAGACGCTTAATGACTGAGCCACCCAGGCGCCCCCACAGTTTATCTTTTATAGAGGAAATTAAGTAGTATAAACTTTTAAAACCAAACTTCAGTACTAAGTGGGACAGTAACTGCTATGTATAGAGTGACTAGAAGTTATGATGGGCTTTTTAAAATACTCCATGTCTAATGCTGTCAAACTCAAACAGATTCTTGCAGGATAAGACTTACCTTAATTTATAACGTATGTAGAATATAGCATGATAAGATAAGCTATTGATCTGAGAGTTCTATGGTATTTTGTTCTTTCTAGGAAATAATCAGACAGGTAGAATATCACTTAATTTGTTTTAAAGAGATATATCAACAGGGAGAACAAATAATGAAATTCCATAATTTCTAAATTAATACAAAAAATTCCTACAGTGAACTATATTTTAGGCATAGTATCAGAAAAAATACCTTCGACAAAAACAATTGTTAAAATGTATAAATTTTAATCATTAATACATAGTCATTTTCTTAAGAGATGTAACAGTATATTTGTTTCAGATGCCTTTCCTGAATTTATTTAAAGTTTCTCATTGATTTTATGATGACTTTTCTCTGTATCACAATGAATAAGTAACTACATTTCTTGCAAAATTATTTAGTCTTGACATTAAAATATAGAACTTTGTACAGGGTTGACACATATATGAATATATATTAATTAAAATATGTATGATATATACTTTCTTTCATTTATTTCAAAATTTCTATCACTATTTTTCAGCCAAAACTTATGAGTTGGAAAATGATTCTGAGGAAATTCAAATAATATCAGGTTACATCACACAGAAGTCATTTGCATCTTTATATTCTCTCATAATTACCTTGCCTCCTGACTCTCTTGTCTTGAATTCTTTTCCTTCACTATTACTTGGTCTTCTGCCAGTCTCTTTCTGGATGGGACTTCAGAAGAATCCCCTCAGTCTTGTCTTACAGTCCAATTAACAATCAAAGTCAATTTAAAAATGTGTGAAACAAGAGATCTCTTTTGCCATCCAAGTTTTATCCCTCCTTCTTGTAGTAGAATGATGGAGTGATAACATTTGGGAAACAATGATTTACAGATTTGCCTTCCCTATTGATCTAGTGCAAGGTCAACCAGATGGTCATGTGTCCTATGGGAGAATGCACTTCAGATGTTATTAATTAGTTACATTTGTACAAGCTAAATCTTGCAGGTTAAAGAACTGTGATTCCTATTAGATACTACATTTTGTAATTGTTACCATTCTAATTTTATGCCAAATAGCTTTTCAAATAAATATAAAGTTCATGCAAAGACTTTCTGATTTAGTTGAATTTTTACTGAAAAAAAAAATCCAGTAGTTTGACAGATTCACATATCATAGCATTTTTGTCATTGTATTTTTTTCCTCAGAACATCTTTGGAATCTATAAGGGTCATAAGGAAAGTCAAGGCTACTTATGTACGATAGACAAATTTGTTTTGCTTGTTCATATACAAGGGAAACCATTGTTGAAATGATTTTGCCTTTATCCAGTAGGGATTTTAGAATGTAGTATTTTACAAAGCCGGAATAAATACTGTATAATTTGATAAAAGGTATCAGTTGCATGTCATTTTACAAAAAGTTTTTGAGCTTGAGAAAAATGGAAATATTGTCTATATTTTAGAAGATATAAAATGTGATTCTGAGTTAAATGTGTTAAGTATTGTTTCTGTTTTAAAATGAGGTATATTCTTATAATAAGATTACTTTTTCACTTAGTAATTCAGATTGTTAATCTAAGATATTCAATTTATTGACATGAGGTTGTCTATAATACTACCTTACTATCCTCACTATGTCTGTAGGATCTGTAGTAATGTTCTTTACTTCATTTATGAAATTGAAAATTTGTGTCTACTTCCTTTATGTTCCATGCAGAGATCAGTTTTTTCCTTTTTATTGATCTGTTAAAATAATCAGCTTTTGGTTTTGTTTTTATTATTATTATTCTGTTTAATATTTCTTTGGTATGTGCTCTAAAATGAAATTGTCTTATTTCTTCTTGCTTTGTGTTAAATTTGCTCTTCTTTTTGGAAATTCTTAACATGGAAACATAGGTTACTGATTTGAGAACTTTTTTTCTAATATAACCAGTTATGCTACAAATTTCCCTTGAAACAGTGTGTAGCAGTGCTCCACATATTTTGATAAAATGTGTTCTGATTTTCAGTCAGTTCAAAATGTCTTCTAATTGCTCCCCTTATTTTTTCTTTTAATCACAAGTTATTTAGAAATATGTTGTATAATTTGAAGATATTTGTGTATCTTTTATTTATCTTTCTGTTGTAGGTCTTTGTTTCAGTCTCTTGTTGTCAAAGAACATACATAATATGCTTCAGGTTCTCTAAAAACTATTAAAACTCATTTTATGGCACTGACTAGAAAATAATGTATATTCTGCTTTTGTCACATGGAATGTTTTATTAATGCCAGTTAGATTCAATCAGTTGATGGTTTGCAATGTTTTCTATATTCTTACTGATATAGAAAATAATGTATATTCTGCTTTTGTCACATGGAATGTTTTATTAATGCCAGTTAGATTCAATCAGTTGATGGTTTGCAATGTTTTCTATATTCTTACTGATTTTCTCTCTAGTTGTTCTTTCAATTACTGACAGAAGAAATTGAACTCCCCATCTATAATTATGGATTTGCCTATTTCTCTTTTCAAAGAGGTCTATCAGGTTTTACTTCATGTTTTTGAATTTCTATTATTAGATACTGACATATCTCTGATTATTCCTGGTAATAATTAGAGTTCTAAAATGTATTTTTGTCTTTATGTAACATTTCTGTCTTTCTGTATAATGAAAAATACCAACAAAATTTTAGTTATAATTAAGTGGGAAAAATGTTTGTCATGATTCTAATGGCCTCTGGAAAGTTTTTATTAAAATATTAGGAAAGGGGCGCCTGGGTGGCTCAGTTGGTTAAGCGACTGCCTTCGGCTCAGGTCATGATCCTGGAGTCCCTGGATCGAGTCCCGCATCAGGCTCCCTGCTCGGCAGGGAGTCTGCTTCTCCCTCTGACCCTCCTCCCTCTCATGCTCTCTGTCTCTCATTCTCTCTGTCTCAAAAAAAAAAAAAAAAAAAAAAATTAGGAAATATGTTTAAACATATATTTTTGATGTTTGTGCAAGTATGAACATTTGATTGGCAGTGTAGTGTCATGA